AAAAAAGGAAAAGGAAGGGACTTGGGGGGGGGGTGATACTAGCCGGTCCTCATAGTGTTATCCTTAGACAGGAACACGGCGGCTCTAATGAAACGGGTCCAACGCTCGAAGTGAAGAAACGAAGCCGTTCCTTGACAAGTCTGTTCGAATCGTTCACTCCTTACGCAGGAATGGAGGTAAAACGTACCGAGTCTGGGTCACAACACTGCTGCTGATGGAATTCATCTGGTATTCTTTCTTTTGTTCTACGTCTCTGCAGGTTGGCCTGTGTACAAGTTCTACTTCCAGCTGTACCGGGCCTTCTTGGAAGCAAGTTAATGTGAAGATTACGTCTGTCGGAAGATGGTCTGTGACTGGCGAGTGGCGAACCAGATTCCACTCCTGGAGACGATGCTGAGAAAGTCGGATGCAAGCAGCGGTAAGGAATGCGATCCTCGGGGAGTTCCTGAGAAAGAGATCCAGAGTCCGGGCATCACATTTTCGTTTGTTGAAATTCACCAGGATCAGAAGCGGTGGGCTCTGTGGTCACTCTTGTGGCTTTCTTTACACACTCCAGAAGAAAACAAGCTCAAGGACGAGTCTGTGCAACGCTCGCACAAACTCGACTGGGCACAACTGGGAGCTCCAACCAGAGTCCAATCTCCGCTATCCCAGACGAGGTGTCTTTATGTCAATGACGGCGAGAGACTTATCTTCATCAAGACAAGTTTGCAAGCACTGGTACGCTCTGTGTTCATCAGACTGTCTGTGGGAGAAATTCGTCGGCTCAAGTCAAGCCAACTTACCAAGGTACGTGCCTCCTGACTATACTATTTTCTGGAAATTTTGTTTTCCTTGCTTAAACGTTGAATTTTGCAGATGGCTGGTGCATAAGCACAGCACGCTACTGTCGTCTCGAAGCACTCGCGTTTTATATTTCACGAACAGATACACGTTTCTGATTCAAGCCTTGGATGCATGGTGGGAACACGGGATTTATAGCTCCTCTAAGCTGTGTCCTCTTATACGAGAGCTTACGCTGCGCAACTGGTGCGTATTCTATGAAGTGCTAAGCTCCGCTTTTGCGAATCGTGCAGATTTCCTATCTGCCTCACTTCTGCCAAAGCTTCACGGCAGATTGAATCTGTACGACCTGGAAGGTGTGTGTTTGGATGACGGAGTCACTGGGATGAAAATCTGGAAGGTGCTGCGTGACCTCTGGCAGCGTTATATCTCATGGCTGAAAGTTTGCCTTCACTGCTCGGACCTGAATTATGCAGTCCGACTCGAGAGAGTCTGGTAAGTGGCATTCCCGCTGGCTGTTGGCTTTACTTGTCGAGATTGCAGTGCTGTTGAGACTCCGAAGCTTTACGATAAGGGAGTCATCTGTTTCAGGTACTTGTTTTTCTTGTTTTTGCAATGTCTGAAATGAGTTTTGCTGTTGAGGAAGGAGTCAAGTGCTCCTCAGCTATGGCCTGCGAACAGCGCTTCAAGCAGGACTGTCTTGGCTGTCAGCAAAAGAAACTGAAAGTACAGCGTTGGAACAAGACATGGAACTGTTATGTGCATTGCATCACTTACTATAGGTACTGAAGTGCTCGCAATCTTCAGATTTTTCTGACGTATGTGATTCGTGCAGGAGCTTGATGTGGCTGATGATTTCACACTTCCACATCACAGTCTTACGCGAGCAAAACTCAGAAGATGTTTTCTGGATGGAGAGTCCGAGCGGGTTTGTGGTGTCTTCACTCACGGGTTTGACAGCTGAGGTGTTGCAGATCAACAAAGCTTGAAGTTTATACTGAGCGGAGTGAAGTCTATGCTCGCACAACCTTTTGCGGATAACAGCGGAGGCATGCTGGTGGTTTCTCACTATCCAAGAGGATATAACAACATCAAGCATAGAACCTGGGTGCAGTGCATTGCCGATAAGATTGCAGCTGTTTTCTGAATGTATTTTTCATTTCAACGATTATAAGTCAGTCTCCCATTGGGTATGTATACAGTTTTCTTCAGATTGAAGTATTTAGAGGTGGCAAATAGTTCTTGCAGATGGAGCAAAGAGTTGGCGGGGGTGGATTGTGGCTCTGGCTGTAACAAACAAGGGAGCAAAAGCCTAAACCACCCTACCATAGGTCACTATATATAGTAAACCACCCCCAGGCTCTTAAGGATCATAACATTCTCCCCTCCCTCTCTCTAGACCCTTAATATCCATGAGCTTAAACGAAGCACATAGCTCAAAACAGAGCTAACCAATGGATCTAACCAACCAAATTTCCTCACTTTTTCTGTCTAGTATTTGTTGCCTGTTTGCTGGTATTGTGTGCTAGCCAGCAAAGAAAGACCCCTTTTTTCTGTGTGACACCATGTGTTGGAATTATGCATTGTCTGTCTAGTAGGATGCTTTCAAGCCACACACACACACATAAGGCCTCACACTAATGTTTTTGTGTGAGGTTGGACACCATCCATTTGTAGATTGGATTAAATTATTATGGAGGGATGAAGTCATTTTCTTGGCATGAGGCCTCATGCTATTCATTTATATGCATTTGTTTCTTACTACTTTAGGTGTCTAGGTGAGTAATCTTACTCGCCAATTCATCTTTGGGGTAAATGTTCAAACAAGATTGGTCCTCAAACACTTGCAAGACTGGGGAAACAGTGGAAGGTTGTACGTTTAGATGTTTGCTTAGCCATTGCCATATTTGTAGTATCATTTTTATTTCACTTTAAGGTTCACAAGTTACACACTTTATTTCTATTCCTATCTATAGTGCCTCAGCTAGGAAAAGCTCTTTGCAATGCGTTGGCTCACTAGAATGAACAAACCAAGCTAGGGGATCCGGGAAGCGCTACTTTGGAAGGATGCCATTGAGAATTTCCCTAATCTCTCCCTTCTCTCTAATCTCGTGAGAGGCTAGCTTCGGTGTCGAGAGAAACTGATGCTGTCCAAGTCCGAGTGTGTGGATCTCATCACTTCCGCGACCAATTCCTCACAGGCGATCGATGCCCATTCCTGGATCAAGATCACCCAGAAGCAAATGCTGCCTGGTGATTGCTGCTACCTCTCCAATCTTGTCATCCTTCGGTATGGCAAGCTGGGCAAGATCCAGCGCACACGAGCAGTGTTTGACTCCATGGAGCAATGCAATTGCCACTTGTGGGTCATTATGTTCTTGGCACATGCCCAAGAAGAGGCAGTTCCCGCCCAGAACGGGCGAGCTGGGCATTAGCCTGGCGAGCGCATTCTGGAGGGAACGAGTGAGCCCGTGCTCGGGAATGGCTTTAACAGGCTGCGGCGAGACCGTTAACAGACATGTGGATGAATGTTATTCGAGGATGAGAGGGTTCTCCAGAATTGGCAGCTGGTAGCCTGGTTCTCCAGAACCTGGCAGCTGGCAGCTGGGTTCTGGAGAACCTGGCAGTTGTCAGCCACGTTCTCGCAGAGAACCTGACTCGATCCGACGGCTGCCAACGGTTGGATCAAGTTAACGGGTGAGCCACAGCCCGTTAAGGGCATCTCGCCACTACCAAGGATCGAGGCAAGGTTACTGCTGCATGGTGGATTGCTTGGGGCGAGCTGGGTGTGTGGAAGAGGCTGAGGAACTTGTGAGGAGCATGCCTTACAAGCCAGTTTCAGTGGATTAGATGTGCTTGCTGGGAGCAAAGTCTAGAAATTGAGGACAAAGATCTCATGGTGTTGTTGCTAGAACAAGCTTTAAGTGTAGATTCTAGGAATTCTACTAGCAAATAGTAGCAATTTTGTTTGAAACTAGTGTGAGTGTAGATTCTGTGTCCTCGTGATTAAAGAGGGTATTCTTTGACAGATCATCATGTATGATTAAAGAGAAAATTCTTTGCTCATTTCCAATGGTCGCTTGGTAAAGTACAAAAGCCAGCTTTTGGACTATATAAATTTAGGGTTCTTGGGGGTCAGTGGCGCAGTGATGGCACAGGGCTGCGCGGCAATCTCCAGTGCAGGCGGCTGGCAGGAGCTCAGCGGCTCGCTGGGCGACCTGGGCACATTCATCCCGATCGTCATGGCTGTAGCTCTCGTCAATGGCATGGATCTTGGTCTCTCATCGCCACGGGCATCTACAACGTTCTCACCAGCGTGCTCTTTGGCGTGCCAATGCCTGTCCAGCCCATGAAATCCATCGCGGCGGTGGCCTTCACCGAATCCAAGCATCCCGGTGTGGATGAGATCATGGCCGCGGGGATCACTGTGTCTGCGATCGTGTTTGTGCTTGGAACCACGGGCTTGATCACGGGTCGTGGCTTGGATCGTGCCATTGCCGGTGGTTCGTGGCATCCAGCTTGCGCATGGGCTCTTTCGCGGTCAAGGCTGTCAAGTACGTGATGAAGGATCAAAATCTCTCTAGGGACAAGGCAATGGGTGATCTACCATGCCTGGGCTTGGATGGAATTCTCCTCGCAGTGATTTGCTTCGCATTCATCGTGCTGGTGAATAGATCTGGCGAGGGCTACGAGTACTTCGTGACGAACAGTGAAGGTGATCGTCATCACGATGATCATGAAGAGCACCGTGAAGAACATCAAGCGAGATCGTCAAAGCTCGTGA